GTATGTCAATAGCACTTGTATAAAGCACTATGCAGGGCTCCTTTGACCACAATTGGCCTTTCATATATTATCTGCAGGGGCTCTAGACAGTGAACAAACATTTAATTTTGACTAATGCTTTTTTATTACATATGAGGAGTTCTTTTGGGGTGCCTTGATATTTATTTATAATATTATTTTTTCATTCTTTTTGCCTTTAATGGACAGATACAGTTGAAGAGAGACAGGTGGGAGAGAGGGAGGGAATGACGTGCACCAAAGGGCCACAAGTTGGAATCCAACCCGGGCCGTTGCAGTAAGGACCTTGTGCATGCTTTATCTGGTGAGCTACCAGGGTGCCTTAGGTACAAAGATATATTTACACCAATACCATACTTATCTCTTTTCAATAAGTAAGACTGTTAAGCATTAACTTAAAAAACTGAGACCTTCCCCAACTTTCCAAGTTGATTATAACACCCTTTGGACTGCCAAACTACGGGCACCCACCACAACACAGAGTCCAACGTCAAAGCTGAGCAGGTGAAATATATTGTGATATTGTGGTGCCTGCTTGCTAACATGGACAAATTGCTAGTTAGCTAACATAGCTAGCTTGACCATGCCAACTGAAAGATTATTCTGTACTTTTTGTGTTGATAAAATTCTCTTACATCTGAGGCAAGAAAACTCTGTAAAAATTGTATATTGTCAATAAGCTTAAAACAATGCTGCTTTTCTTCTTTCATGAAAAAGTGACATTTTAATTTTTTTACCTTCTATTTAATTTTACTGTTTTTTAATCCTATTCATGTGTATTTTATATTGCTGTGTCTTTCTTTCATATGTTTTATATCTTTAAGTAATGTATATTTATATCTTAGTCAAATCACTTTAAATTGCCTTGTTGTTTAAAGGTGCAATACAAATAAGCCTTACCCTTGTCTTGCCTTAAAGGTTCCTTGTGGGGTTGTAAACCTCTAGTATGGCTATGGAGCTTTTTTTTTTTTTGCGAGACGACACGCACATGCACGTGATTAAAATTCTAAACATTCCTACAAATGTTGTCGCACTCTACCACTGATCTACAGGTGGCGGTAATACGGCAAGATATGCTGCAATGGTCCAGTAAAGAAGACTGGAAGCAAGGAAACATGGATGAAAAAAAACGCTTGATTTAAAATACTTAAAACACACTCGACAAGTTTGTTAGACCACACAATGCATTTAACTGAATGTAAACGTAACTTTTGTGTGTTTACAAGAAAATTCAACAGAGCATCTTTAAAAATAAATATGGTATGATATTGAAAACACTACTGTGAGAAATGTTGCACTTTTGTGATAAATAAAATGCACTGAACACGCTGTGTCTTTTTGATGTTTAATGGTTTCCTACAAGTTTACTTATTTTTCTCAATCACCAGGTTGAACTCTTTTGTCTTTTAACACCAGAGTATCTACATTTTAGGAAAAATAGAATTTGCTGAAAGTTGGTTTTCTGCTGCTGAAAAACTGAGCACAAATAATCAAAGTCAACCATGCAGTGAGACATACTGTATCTGATCAGTTATTCAGTTTGACATGAATTCGGAAAAAAAAAAGTCACAAACAAAATATCCTGCTGAGCTGGTTCCATCTCACAGACTTTCAAACAATAGCAATAGTCATGCATCAGAAACAATAATTGCAGCTGAGTGTTTGTGCGTTATAAATTGTGGGTATGCACTGTCCACATTCGTGTGAAGGAGTTGCGTGTGTGTGTGTGTGCTTGTATGAATCAGCTCATGGCCTGCGTGTGTGTATGTCCCTAAGCGTTCACACGTTCATATTCCAGTTGCGCATGTGTGCGTGTGTGCGCAAATTGTAAAAGTATGAGCTTGTTAATTTCAATAAGGGACGTTGCCTTGTTGTGGTTTGGAGGGATGGGAGGGAGAGGACTTGAAGTGGCCGACCAAGATCGCCAGAAATCTCCCAGAATTCCATCCCACCATCCAGTGCCAACTCTCTCTCTCTTATGTTTCTCTCCATCACCCTCCCTTCACACACACCCCCACCATGAAACCATTTTCATAATTAACTTATTTATTTATTCATTCATCTTCTTAATTACTTTCCACTTCATGCGTGTTTTTTAATGCAACTTGCCTCATCCTGGAACAACTGGGAGGTGTGGCCGTCCAAAAACGATGAGTGAACAGAGTGATTTCATTAAAAAAAAAGAAGAAAAAAAAGACTGGCGATACAGAGAAGAAAGTTATTCTTTGAAGAGAAGGGTGGGTTGGTGATAAAAATAACAACAGAGAACTGAAACTGAAGCCTGACTTCATAGATGTCTCTTTTCTTTCAGACTCTTTATTCCATGTTTTCTGATGCTGGAATTAGATCCAGATCTGAATTAAGGAACGATTGGTAATGAAAGGATATGTAGACAGGGGGGTTTGGAGGGAGGGAGGG